TAATACAATACAGTTTGTCTGTAGATTTTGGACCAGAGAAGGCATGTTGAGGGGGCCTTTGTTTTTGGAAATTTTACTCCATTTTCTCCCAATTTGGACAGCTACCAATTGGGGAGAGTGAAGAGTAACTCATGCCTCCTCCAAGACACATGAAGCCACTACACATGCTACGTCACACAGCGTAACACACTCAGAGTAAAGCGCGATCTACCCTCTTCCACATACATGAGTTAACAGATGCTCACGATTGGTTAGTGTCTCTGTGATTGACAGTGAAGAGAGAGAGTACGCCATCACTCCCACTCACCGAGCACTGACCACGGATGGCAGAAAAGCATGTTTTTAGGTCCATATATGGAAATCTTCAGATCGGAATTAAGAAATACTTGCCGTTCACATATACACAAATTTTCACAGATTTTCTTAGCCAGAGTCTGATTGCTGAACGGATTTTGAAGTCATGTTTTTAATCTTGACAAGCTACGTGGTCTACCTGAGAACAACTACTAAAGACCATGGTGCCACAGAAACTTTGGCTACTTTTTCATGACAAGTGGGAACTGGGAATTTTCCACTTCCTTCCTACCTTCCTCTTTGAGGTTGGAAAGAGTGGACGCACCAGGAAAGCTGGTAATTGTATTCTGTGAATATAAAAAGCTTTTTCACTTTACACATAACCTCACCTTTGCTATTCCATGTTTAAAAATCTGGACACGCCCCTGATTTGAATGGAAGTGAGAATCTTTCCAGTTCCTACTTAGTCAGTTAGTTCATGGCTATGAGTTTATAGATTGGCTCAAAAACACGCCTACCTATTTTTTTCCCATGGTAAACATGAAAAGAAACATGTTCAGATTGCCATTCTGGGTAGCCAATGCTCCTGAAGTCTAGTCATGTTCACTTGCTCCGTCAGGCTGTGGCACCATCTTGCCCTGTCCTTGGTTGTTGAAACGGGATTTCAGTGGAGAACAAAGTGGCAGTGTGTGTTGTTAAAATCAGCCCTGGAATCATTTTCAGAGGTGTGGCAGCAAGAGGAATGTCCTAGGGTTAGTAATATAATGCTAATGCAATAGGTGCCATTGCCATCTCTGACATCTCTAATACTGATGTTCTGGGTGTTGATTGAAAAGCAGATTTGGACATGCATAGCTCACATGTTTCTGTCTTGCCAGTAATGTTCAGGACATACAGTCTGTACACTATATGGCCAAACATTTGTGAACATCTGATCATCACACCCATAAGTGTTCCATCTCCAAACTGTTGCCACAAAGTTGGAAGCACACAATTGTCTAGAATGGCTTTGTATGCTGTAGCATTACGATTTCCCTTCACTGCAGCTAAGAGGCCCAAACCTGTTCCAGCAAGACAAAGCAAGCTCCAGGAAGACATGGTTTGCCAAGGTTGGAGTGGAAGAACTTGAGTGTCCTGCACAGAGCCCTGACCTCAACCCCACTGAACACCTTTGGGATGAAATGGAACGCAGACTGCACCCCAGACCTCCTCACCCGACATCAGTGCCTGACCTCACTAATGCTCTTGTGGCTGAATGAGCACGAATCCCCACAGCCATGCTCCAAAATCTAGTGGAAAGCCTTCCCAGAAGAGTGGAGCTTATTATAACAGCAAAGGGGGACTAAATCTGGAATGGGATGTTCAAAATGCATGTGAATATTGTGGTAGGGTGTCCACATACTTTTGGTCATATAGTGTATAAAAGCAGACAATGAAACGTCTACTGTACAGCAATACATTAGGGGCGTGGCCACGGGGTGGTGTTGTCACCCTTGAACTAGAGCTTGCTTCCCATTTGTATCGTTGCAGACTGAATCACTCTCTATGGATGGATATGTGTGGCAGATATCCGTCCATCCATTCTCTATACTGCTTATCCTACACAGGGTCACGGGGTAGTCTGGAGCCTATCCCAGGGGACTCGGGGCACAAGGCAGGACACACCCTGGACGGAGTGCCAACCCATTGCAGGGCACAACTGCACACCCATTCACACACTACAAACAGTTTGGAAATGCCATTCAGCCTACAACACATGACTTTGGACTGAAGGAGGAAACCGGAGTACCTGGAGGAAACCCCTGAAGCACCGGGAGAACGTGCAGACTCTGCACACACAGGGCGGAGGTGGGATTCGAACGTTTGTAGCTGTTCCATGAGTTTTCCATAATCCTATGCCGTCGTCCTATTGGTGGCTTGTAGACGAGTGTCGTAGCTGCGCTCACACACTGAGATATTAATCAAAAAATTTTGGAGAACTTTTAAGCTGTCTTGGGTTGCAGTGGCACTAAATTCCCCGCCACTGACCTTGTCACATTATGCAATCTAAGATCGCAGATTTCAACTCACAACCAAAGAATTGTTTTACGGTCAGAGATAGTAAAATCCATGCGAATAAATTGTAAAGTCGGTTTAACTCTCACTGCACCCTCTACACTTTACAGCGACATTTGTAAATGATGTACTTTAGTCTCTAGCAGGGATAGAATACCCATAATGCACTTTGCTGTTTGGCAGTAAATGTATAGACAAAATGATCAGTCCTCTGTACTGCTTATCCTACACAGGACCCTCTCCCAGAGGGTAAGGCAGGGACACCGTGGACACAATCATGCACATGCACTCTGGACAATTTAGAGATGTCAGTCAGCCTACAGGGCATGTCTTTCGACTGGTGGAGGAAACCGGAGTACCCCAAGGAAACCCCTGAAGCACTGGAAGAGCATGCAAGCTCCACGCAGACAGAGCAGGGGTAGGATTCGAACCCCCAACCCTGGAGGTGCGAGGCAAATGTCTTAGCCACTAAGCCACTGCACCCCCTGAGTGTAGTGAGTGTAGTGAGTGTAGTATGTGTAGTATGTGTAATATATAATGTATATGTAAAAAGAAAGAAAGAAAGAAAAGGTCATCCATCTACACTCCTCGCCTTGTTGCGTCCTTGTGATTTTTGTCTCATTCATTATTTCAGATCCGCAGGGTGGCTCCAGCCCCAGTGCAATGATTGACAAATCCGGGAGCCAATAGCCTTTAAGAGTGGGCGGGATCACGGTGCGAGAAAGGGAGGCGACAGCCAATCGGATGGCGCTCTTTGAAAACCTCACGGTGGAGGAGTGTACTCTGGTGCGTATGTGTGTGCCGGTGAGTGTGTATGTGTGTATATGTTGAGGCGTGTGTGTGTGTGTGTGTGTGTGTGTGTGTGTGTGTGTATAAATGGCCGCGCAGCTCTCTCTCTCTCCTCCGCATGTTTGACTTTCTCCAGCTATGTGGCGCTTGGGTGCAGAGCAGCAGCACGCAGCCTCCTTTTTTTAATTCCTCCATCCATCCATCTCTCCATCCTTCTTTTCTTTCTTTCTTTTCCTTTTTTGATTTTTTCCCCCTCCCCTGCTCGCGCTGTCCCTTTTTTTGTATTCAATAAACACTTCATTTGAATCATTTTGAGCCTTGGTTATTATTCTTATTATTCTTATTATTATTCTTATTATTATTCTTATTTATTTATTTCATGCTGCCGAGTTGCAGATAGAGAGAAAGCGGATTGTGGTCAGTGTAGCGCGCGCTCGGTGGCTTTATATTATTGGCTTTAAATTTGGCTCTGGACGTCGCCTAACTTTGCCTTTAGACACACGGTAAGCTCTGCTTATTCCTTTTTCTTTAAAAAATACTTATGCATTTCTTTTAAATGTGACCTGGCATGGTAGAGAAGGTGTGTGTGTGTGTGTGCGTGCGTGTGTGTGTGAGAGAGAGGCTTTACGTTGAAATATGACAGCTCGGGACCGGGAATAACCGTGTGTGTGTGTGTGTGTGTGTGTGTGTGGTTTTGCTGCGCTGATTTTGCATGCTGAGCGGCGCGTGCATCGTGTAAGAAGCGTGCATGCAGTATGCATTATCCATACCTAATATATCATACACCCTTATACTGCTACTGCTATTACTACTAATAATAATACTTTTTAATCAAATTGTAATACGTTTTCCTTTTATGTTTATTGTAATTTTAATGGGATATTTATACTACTAATATTTTTTACTAATTATGATAATAATAATAATTATTATTAACACTTTTAGCATTAATATGAAGACATCATGGCATACAGATGAGATGAGATAAGATGATCTCCTGAACCACACACAACAAGAACAAAAATTAATAATAATAATAATAATTCTTGGACTTTTAAGAGGCAGCTCAACCCAGAGGTCACCTCCATTTCACTGCAGTAAAGCCATTAAATGAACGAAACGTTAGTTTATTTCCTTAGAAAGCATGACATCTGTGCTGTTTATCTGTCTGCACCAATCTGTCAGTCATCGATCATCATTTTGTGCATTTTAGCCCAGTGATGGCTGAATTCTTTGTCTTGGTGTTAAAGCTGCATCCATCCTTAATGCTTCATATAGCAGTTGAATATATAAGCTGATGTATTAAAAATATAAAGTTCTTTCATTAGCCAGGTTTAAAGAGCAGTATGCTTTTTTATGTACATGTATGAGAAAGGCACATGGCATTACAGCCAATCAGAGGGAGGATAATATGGATAGAAAATATGACACTAGTATGTGGTTTGAATATTTTATACTCTCTATTTCACTCATATGAAGTATTTGTGATTATAGGATTCATTTTTGTTCACAAACTGCAAGTTATTTCACATCATATTTAATATTATTGTTGATAAGGTGCAGTTTCAGGTCATGTGAACTGAAGATTAGACTTTTTTTTTTTAACAAATACATGCTCTTATATACTATTTTTAAGACATTATTCTTCAACTTCAGCAACAGGAGAATCAGAGATGTTTAATTTCTAATCAAGCGCCACGTTTCCAGCTGCTACTGATTCCTTACACCTGAGGCAGGATAATTAGCACTGTGACCATTCATCCCGCCCACTTTTGAATCATTCTGTCCAATCACAACAAAGAAGAACTGCAATACTGTGTTCTGATTGGCCAATTGGCGCGGTAGTTTGTCTCCTGATTGGCTAATTGACCTGCCAGTTTATTTAGGGCTCGTCGTTTTTTCGCGCCACTGTTTTCACTCTGAGCTCGGCTTGGGCTTCTTTGGACCTGCGTTTTGGTTAAAGGAAGGACGCCTCGCTTTAATTAAAAAAGGTAAGAAACGAGGAGAAAGTTGATTTATTGGTAGAAAACCTCTTTACATGTTAAACGGTGGTGTGTAAAATGGCGTCTGTGCGCTTTTACTCAGTGTTTTTAAGCTTGTGTGCTGTTTTAGCTTCCTGCGTGCTACTAATAAAGCTAACGCAGAACAGTTTAACGACTTTTTGTTTTAATTTAATTTAACTTTGCTGTTAGTTTAGCTTTAGTTTGTTTTTTGCTAACATTTTAAACTGGAAAAAAAAAAATCGAAAACTTAACAAAAAAAAAAAAAAAATTCGTCGCGCGCCTGTATTGAATCGTTATGTTAAGTAGCGGCGCATTGGTGGGCTGTGTTCCAAACGCCTCCCATCTCCTTATTCGAGTGCACTACGTAACCCGATGACGCAGTTGCGTTCCACGCACAGCGTAGTGCACTACTTATCTAATACGCCCTAATTTAGGATTCGACCTAACGGTTTTTTTTTTCCTTGTATCGTAATGGCGTTCGCCTTTTTAAAAAGCAACGGTTTTGTTTGAAATATTTTTGTATAGCAAAATATTTTAGTGGTTTTTAGTGTTCTATATAGTCAACGTTTGTAGAGAATTGGGATTTATTTGGAGTTTTATTTCATTTATTTGTGGTGTGTGTTGGATGACGTCACGTCATTTAAAGTTAAATAAACCATATGGAGCAACATTGCTGTTTATTTTGGTGTACATTAAAACAATTTAAAAGCAATATCAGAACCTGTTTACACACTCAGCCTCAATAAAAATGATTATACGTCATCTCTGTGCGATTCTCGACTCTGATTGGTCAGAAGACGTTGATGAGTTGTCTGTAAGAGCGGCTCTGACAGTAGTGCCGGCTGCAATACACATCACAGCTAATGCCTTATCGTTTCTATAGTAACCGCTGATTCACAGGGCTGTGTTCCAAACCGCACACTACCCCACTATAAGGCAAAATAAAACTATAAATAAAATTATAGGTGATGCACTATTCAGTGGGTTAGTGTGTGGTTTGGGACATAGTCAGGGACTGTGACTGTGGCAGGTGATGCACATAATCTAATGCTAATATTCACTTATATGTATTCATGAGTATTATTAACTAGCAGGTGGTTAAAGGTAGCTAACTTGGTAAGTTGCTAGTTATCTAGCTCAGTTTCCCCATATGTGGGCAGAAGTGTTAAAGTCTGGATTTCTGTATTAAAGTCTCGCTTTAAGTTGTCATTTTTGGTGCTTTAACCATAGACCACTGTGTTGCGTAACTGTTTTGATCGATCACTTGGTTAAGTTAGCTAGCTTATCAGACTGGGTTTGTTTCTGAAGGTTCATTCTCTCATCTTGGATGTGATTGGTCTAAAGTGGTGGAGCTTCAGGACATGCTGTTGTAGGAAAATAATCAGCAAAGAAGTGGTGTGATGCTTGAATTTGATGAACATCACATCGAGTTTTATTCCTCTTCTACCATGTGCAATTCGTCATTTAGTGATGAGTGATGTCATGATTTTTTTTTTTTTTTTTTTTAAATCATTTATAGTTGCATTTAATGGGAATGTCCAAGAAACAAGTTATGATTTGAAAGTGTTATTTTTGTATAAAGGCATGGCTCGGACAGTAGTTCCTGCTGTGAAATGAAGGATAAGTTTATATTAATGCGCTCATTAGAATGATCTCTGCATGCTCCATATGATTGTTGATGTGGGGTGTTTTGTTTTTTTGTTTGTTTTTTTAAGGGAAGATTTATTTAACAGTTATGGAAGGAGTCTCGGTTGTAAGCGCTTGGTAACAGATTTTCTCAGCTCTGGAACGTCTGCAGCGCGTTGTGCCGCGTCACACCACCACGTGTGCGTTGTTTTCGTCTAACAGCGTGGTGTTATTCCTGACAAGTCAAAAAGCAGTTTGTCAACATGCGCAGTAACTTATCACTGCTATAAACATTTGTTCCTTCACCAGTCTCAAAGTTAAATAACACTTTTTTTTTTTTTTTTTTTAATAGTTCAGTTTATTACACTATGTGGAGCGTCTGCTGAGTCCCCGTGAACAATCTTAACATTAACATAAACCCCTGATTTGAATTAAAGCCGGAACTACAGTCAGCTCTTATTATAGAAAATGAATCAATACCTGCTGACCAATCAGATTGGAGAATTCAACTGGAAGAGGATTTAATTGGTTAAGTCATTTTTTTTGCACTTCTGAAGTACAAGCCTAAGATGTGAGCTCTGTTCAGAGTTGTATGAGCTCAAAATAATATTTTAATCGTGTTCACGTAGGCGTCGGTGAGATTAATGTTGCAGCACCTGAGAGTGTAGTGGTGTAACTTAATGAGAGCGATCTTACTGGCGGTGCAGACTCGAGCGCTTCATTACTCTGAGTTTCTCATCACGTTTTTAGAGCTGAGAGTTGATTAAACGGCAGCGGTAATCAGTGTGTGCTTGTTATTTCAGTGTGTTCATCATTGTGAGTGTGTACTGGCTGCCAGTTGAACAGTCTTATTTCTGAAAAATGTGATTTATTTATTTTTTTAAAAACAAAATACTGAACTGGCTGCACATTGCAGAGCATTCACTAACAGTTTAGGGATTTTCCTGCTCTTTCACCAGTTTGCTTCAGGAAAGTGTGACGCTTGAACTGTCACAATATCGTGTGTTTTTATTCACAGCTGAAGCAAAGCATATGATCCCAATTCCTGAACGAAACTAGAAGCGA